GAGAGAGAAAGAAAGAAAGAAAGAAAGAAAGAAAGAAAGAAAGAAAGAAAGAAAGAAAGAAAGAAACTAAGTGGCATAAACTGCCTGACCAGGTGGCCTTGATCAGTATCAAGCCTGTTCTAGTCCTCAATACATGAAACAGCTCTGATAAACAAGAATCAAAGTGGGCAGGGAGAAGCTGGCTGATAGCCGAACCTTCAGTGCCTGTGCAGACAGGAAGGGAAACCACACTGGTGTGGACGTGGCGGGGGTCAAAGCCTGCTGCTCAGTAACTGAAAGCATGAGCTTTAGAGTAGGTCCCTCTGGATTTAAACCCCAGCACTGCCACTGACTACTTGTGCAGTCACTTACCTCAATGAACCCCAGTTTCTCCTCTGTAAATTGGGAAAGATAGTATTAGAAAGACACAGTGTGCCTGAGGCATAGTCAACATTCCCCATGACTATTATTCATCATCTTTGCTTCCTGACATGATTTAGACTTCCTGTAATCCAGACTGAAATGGCACACAGTGAGACTGCAAGCCCATTACATGCTACCAACACCTAGGTGAGTTTGGAACCCACCACTTAATCTGGGGAACACTGTCAGCCCATGCTGAAGACCCCATGCATCTGCCATATAAGAGACACGCCCAGATCCTTCCCCACACTCCAGACAGTGGAGGCCGGATGTTGCTTTGAAGATCTGAGACTATCTGCAGCTTTGCTTAAACACTAGCAACTTTAAAACTGCAAGATTCAGGGGGTTTCCCTTGATACTTATTTTTAAAACTGAAGGGAAAAATTAACCATTGACCCCCTTCCTCCCACCACATAACACAAAGCAGTGTGGAATAAAATGACAGTATATGGGCTGGTGTAACATTGGAGTTGACCTTGTGGAGTCCTTCCATCTCATTTTGTAAAACAGATAAAGGCCTTATACACATTTATTTGGCAGTTATCTCCTGGCAAATTAACAGAGCTAATGGTTTTTGTGACAAGAACCCCCAGTCTAGGCTCTCTTCCACTGACTAAGATGGAATCATTCCTATTTCCCAAGAGAAAATGTGTTGCTTCTGAAAACTAGAAGAGGGGCGAGGAAGATCTCTCTCCTGTCAAGTGGACTGTTTCCCTTGAAAGGCTCATTCTCTTCATAACAGTTACATATCATTTTATGTTGCATCCTTTCTGATACAGTTGGTCTTTTCCCTTAGGCCCTTGATGGGTTCTTCTTTGTAGTGAACCTGGAAGGCAATGTGGTGTTCGTTTCAGAGAACGTGACACAGTATCTAAGGTATAACCAAGAAGAGCTGATGAACAAAAGTGTCTACAGCATCCTGCATGTCGGGGACCACACTGAATTTGTCAAGAACCTGCTGCCAAAGTCTATAGGTAAATATCTGCTGGTTGGAGCAAGTAAATAGAAGTGTGTTATGTCATGGGGATAATAGTGATGGGTTATTTTCCGAGACACTTAGGTTTTTAAGATTAAGACTCGTGGAAAGGATATCTTTAGATGCTGGTCTTCAGTGGATTATCATTTTGAGCCTGTATTTAAAATATGTGAAAATGGTTCAGATGGAAAGTACTTTGAGCGACTATTTGCAGTTATTTTTTTTCTATTTTAAGAAGGCAGCAAGTTGCTGCCCTTACCCACCTTACACAGTGCCTGCCAGCTTAGATAGTTCATTTTCTTTTATAACCATCTCAAAAGTAGGCCATGATATGTTTGAGATTTGACTCCTGTTCAGTCCTATGTATGATAAGAGTATAAGGGTATATGTATAGGGAGGGCATCCTAAAAATAAAACACTAAGGAGCGGTGGCATGGGGAGTTTGGGTGTGTTGGCCCCTGTGCTTTCTTTCATCTCAGTCTCCTGAACGGCTCTATAGGTGTCAGTGCAGGGCATAGCCTCCTCAGCTCACTTCCCTGTCTCAGACTTCTGCCTTCTTCCATTTGGTTTGGAGATGTTGTGCAGAAGTGAGCGTATGAAGGATGATGGGCTGCTGTTGACAGTGGGAGACTCACAGCACAGGCCAGCCTCAGTTGCTGCCTCAGGATTGCTGTTCCCACTTACTCAGTGGTTCTTTTTTTAATATTCTCACTTAAACTGTTAAGAACATCTTCACAGATAAAAAAGAATGTAAAAAATGTGTAAAAAAAAAAGTGCAGAAAAAGGTCAGTCCAGAATTGGCAAGTATTCCTCTTCTTTTTCTTAAAACTGTTTATACAAGCTGGTCTTATAATTAGCACAGTAAATAGAAAGAGATCCCTTCGAACTTCCAGTCTGGCCAGCTTTGCAGTGGTAGGATAACCCTTTGTTCATAGTGACTGCAGCAATCACAAGGTGTACTTACGGGGCTCCTTTTGTATTTCTCTAAGAAATGAGAAAGAGAATGAATTCATATTCAAGTAATGAATACTTTAAGATATCTGCAGTGATTTCATGACTCCCTCAAAGGACCCGTACTTATTACTTCACTGGTTTAAAGAGCCCTTTGCCTCACTTCATAATGTACTTTTTTTTTTTTTAGTTTCAACTTATTAATCTAAATTAATAAGAACTTTGTTTCCCTTTCTTCTTTGATAGGTCTATGTAAGCTTTTACAAGTGCTGATAGTAAAGTAAGATTTCCAAATGTCTGCAAAGATATATAAAACTAGTTGTGGTTCCTTCTATAATTAGTGTCATATAGTAACTTACATTTGCTTTTTAAGAAATATTATTTTTATTTTATGTGTATGAGTATATTGCCTGCATGTAAGTGTACTCATGTTGTGCAACGCCTGAGAAGGTCAGAAGAGGGCATCGGAGTCTGTGGAGCTGGAGTTATGGACAGTTGTTAGCCGCCATGTGGGTGCTGGGATTCGAACCCACATCTTCTGCAAGAGCAGTCGATGCTTTTAACTGCTGAGCCATCTCTCCGGCCCCCACATTCTCTTTTTTTCTGTCTATAGTTTCTTTCCTTGTCAATCTGGTAGTCAGGGCTCAGTGTAGAGTTAGTCCTACTGTCCCTAGTGTTCTGTCCTGTGATTCTGATGGATGATTCCCTTTTCTTGTGGCTCATGCTTTCTTTTTGATTGTGACTGGCCATAACATTTTTAGGTAAAACATAAGGAACAATAAAGGAATGAACACTGAAATGAGAGGATTGATTCTGATTGAACATTTCTTTGGGTGTCAGCTTTCTCCTTGGGTCCATAAGCACTGTTTAATAACTCAAATCAGTCATTGTTTTTTCTTTCACTGTTTTCTCTAATGCATTTCGAAAAACGCTGATACCTTTAGTTCAATAACTTTTTTTTTTTTTTTTTGGTCTTTTTGAGACAGAGTCTCCCTGTAGCCTCAGCAACTCCCTATGTAGATCAGGCTGGCCTCCACCTCACAGTGATCCGCCCACCTCTGCTGGGGTTAAAGGTATGCACGACCACACCTGACTTAGTTCAGTAACTCTTAATATATACATTTTAAATTTTTGATACTAAAACGGACTGTAAAGTAGCACCATGTCTTCAAGAATTTTTCAGCTTCATTGAGGAAGTCTACGTAGAACAATCAAGAGAGGTTATAATCAGCTAGGCATGGTAGGGCACCCCTTTAATTCCAGCACTTGGAGGCAGAGGCAGGCAGATCTCTGTGAGTCTGAGACCAGCCTCATCTATAGAATGAGTTCTAGGCTAGCCAGACCTATACATGAGATCCTGTCTCAAGAAAACAAGAGAGGCTATAATCAAGAAGTCAGAAGCAGACAAGTTAGAAAGTACACACTAAAGTTTCTTTCAAAAGTCTGACAGTAATCTCTGAGAAGAGGCCTGAGAAGTTGAGGTGTTCCAGAGCACCCTGCCTTGGTGTGCAGTAGCTCAGAATGGGGAATGGTGGTAGGATAGCAGCAGGAGCAGGTGTTCATGTGGTATTGAGGGTGGAGTGGGGAGACTAGGGGAGGCCAGAGGGAGCTAGATGGATGGGGCAGGACTGCTCAGTGAGTTTTGAGTAGTGTGTTCCTGGCTACATCTCAGGTCCAGACTCTCTGAAAGACTTTGATATTTGCAGCAGTTGGTGCCATTTGCAGAGTTTTGTGAAGGGGTAACACATCTAAAACTGGAATGCAAGTGGACTGAACTAAATTTCAAAAAAAAATCAAAGAAGGGGGGCTAGAGAGATGGCTCAGTGGTTAAGAACACTGGTTGTTCTTGCAGAAGACCTGGGTTCGAATCCCATCACCCACATGGCAGCTAACAATTGTCTGTAATTCCAGTTCCAGGGGATCCAACAGCCTCTTCTGTCCTCCGCAGGCATTGCGCGACATGGGTGCACTTATCTACATGCAGGCAATACACACATACACATAAAAATAAAAATAAAATATTTTAAAAAAATAGAAGGAAACCCCAAAATAGTCTGTGGTAGTCTAGTAATAAGTAATCAAGACGTGAACTTGAAGCAGTTAGGGTGAAACCCCACGAATGTAGATGAGGTTTTGAAAATCCCAAGAACGCCCCCAAGCTGTAAAGCAGTGAACAAGTGTCTTTCCATCAGTATGATCAGAGTATTTAGAAAAGTATCCTGCACATGCAAGTGTAAAGCAGCGTGCTTTTCCTGCCCCACCTGGATAATCCTGCACCTGTTGTTTGCTTCCTTGTAATCCTGAGTCCCTTTTGCCTCACAGTGAATGGGGGATCTTGGTCTGGTGAACCTCCGAGGCGGAACAGCCATACCTTCAACTGTCGGATGCTGGTGAAGCCTTTACCTGATTCAGAAGAGGAAAGTCATGATAATCAGGAAGCACACCAGAAATATGAAACTATGCAGTGCTTTGCTGTGTCTCAACCAAAGTCCATCAAAGAAGAAGGAGAAGGTAGGATGAAACCTCAGAGAGCTCCTGTGCCCATGGGCTTCTTCCTGCACTGCCGGTCTCAGCCCTAGGAACTGAACACTAGTGGTTACACAGAGAAATGCATGAAACAGTTGCTAGATTTCTTTCCATTTTTACTATTTTGTAATCCAATTTCCTCCTGCAGTACTAGAGCTCAAACCTAGGGCCTTGTGCATGCTAAGCAAGTACTCAGTACTTCTAAGTTAGATCTTCAGCTTCATAACTTAAGTTTTTACCATCTTAGAGTAGTGTTGTCCAATGGAATGTTCTATGATGATGAAAGTGACAAATCCCCCCCCCCTTTTTTTTTGAAACAGGGTCTCCCTGTAGCCCCAGCTGGCCTGGAACTCACTATGTAGACCAGGCTGGCCTTGACCTCACAGAGATCCGCCTGCCTGTGCCTTCTGTGTGCTGGGATTAAAGACGTGCACCACCACACCCAGCTGAAAGTGACATATCTTGTTTCTAGCACAGCAGCCATGATCCAAAGCCAGAGGGCTGTAGCAGGTGACCATATTACAGCTCTGACAGTGGCTGATGTTTCAGGGATCCTGGCTTCCTTTGAACACCTATGCAAATCTTGTCCCGTAGCCCCAGAAGAATGCACACAGGTACCAACAGCACCTTTTCATAGACTTTCCAGGGAATCGTGGAACCCATGTAGGTTATCCATGGACTCTGGCCCTTCAGTGTGGTATAGCAGCAGAGAAGACAGACGAGGAATGGGGAATGGAGGGCTTTCCAATGCATAACCTCACTGCTACTCCCATACTGAGATGTTGATGTCATGCCACCCTGTGCCTTTCAACCAGCCAGTCCACATGGCTTAGTGTCACTCTGTAGTAAAGACAGTGCTAGAGAATTTATTCTTCAGGAGTAGCAGAAGGGAAGGCACTTTTGGCCAGCAGAGTAAGCAAATATCCTGGGAAGTAATCAGACAGGCCAACTCCTAATTCAGCCACTTACCAGATCTATGGCTGTAGACTAAATCTTTCACTTCTCTGTGCATCAACTTATTATCAAATGAAATCACCAATTCAGTATCAAAATGTAGTAAGGGGTAAGGCTGCAGGTGTAACTAGTGGCAGAGTGCTCACCTGTGTGTGAGGCCCTGAGTTCAAGTCTCAGCACACACACACACAAAGGTTATGAATGTGATTGAATGCTAATATAGTACTTCTTAATTAAAATACATAAGTGTCTTTTAGTTTAAATTTTATCAGAAAGGACATATGGAGAGCTATTACAGATGACATACAGTATTTCAAAATTAGCCTTTTGCTTGGATATGAACATCAAACAATTTTATTATTTCTGTTCAACAAGAGTAAGTGCTGCTAATTCATCTGTGATCTGCTAAAGCAGTATAATAAAGGTCGTCATGTGTGCTAACATACTGTTTTGTGCTCAAACCTTTGTATATTGAGAATTGGATTTTTGGCTAAGGGTATAGTTCAGTTGATAGAGTGCTTGCCTTACCTGCACAAATTCCTGGGATCATACCCCAGCACCACATAAAATGGGGCATTGTGGTACACACCTGTAATTCTAGCACTCAGGAGGTGGAGACAAGTGGATCAGAAAGTTCAGGTTCATCCTTGGCAACATAGCAAGTTGGAAGCCAGCTAGGATATGTTAGACCAGTCTGTAAATTAACAGAATTGGATTCTGAGGAGGAGTGGGATGATACACACCTCTAATCCTAGCACTTAGATGAGATTGGGAGGGTTTAGATTGCTATGATTGTAGTAATCCTTGTACTTAGGCAATAGCAGCAAGAGGATCACTGCTAGTTTGAGGCCTGTCTACACATAGTAAGTTCTGGGCCAGGCAGGGCTACATAGCAAGACCCTATCTTTTAACAGAAAAATTTGGATTCTGTCCTTTCATAAAATGTAGCATAAGAGCATGGTTTCTTTTTTCTTTTCTTTTTTGAGACAGGGTCTCACTATATAGTCTTGGTTGGCCTAGAACTTGCTGTGGAAACCAAGCTGGCCTCAAACTACAGAGCTCCGCCTGCCTCTGCCGCACAAGTGCTGGGATTAAAAGCATGTACCACCACTTTAGGCTTCTCTCTCTTTCTATGACTGTGGTACTAAGGACTGAACCTTATACATGGTAGGCAAGTAAGTTTTCCACCACTGAGCCACATTTCCCCATCACTGATGACAACTCCATTTTACTATGTAAATACCAGCAGTCTTTCAAGAACATCCAAGTTCAAAGGTGAACAATCATAAATCAATGATACAAGAGATATGAAGAGACTTTTATTTTTGTAATGGTCTTTTTCATCAGCCTTTTTTAACTTGAAAGAGGCATGCGATGTGAACAACGGAAGTGGGGCGAGGTTAAATGCTTAGCCTTGGCTGCCCAGGGAACTCACCACTGCCAAGATTATAAACTGTGAGGTGGTGCTCCAGGCACATTTTCTAGGTGCAGTGGGGTTTCTGCTCTGAATCTACATCTAGTTTATATTCCTTGCTTTAAATTTCATATTGCCCTCATGGGTACCTATGTAGTTTATTAGGAGTAATCCTGAAATTAAAAGGCAAACCCTTGACAAAGCAGAGTATTAGATTTTCGTTTTCATTTTTTTTTAACATTAGGAATTAGTTTTGCTTTTACACTCAGCCATTTAGGAGGAAAGGATTCCATTCTTCCTCACTGGGGATGGTTTCCAGTGGCTAACTTTCTAGTTTGGTGGATGATTTCTTACCATGTGTACTATGTGGTGTCAGCATTTGTCTTCTGTACCCAGAACCTCCCACCATAGGCAGATAATTAAGCCAGTGAGAAACTAAGGTCCACCATGTTGTCTCGCTTGTTGATTTATAAGGCTATGCTGTCATAAATATTTGAGTTTATTTGATCAATTTAAAAAAAAAAAAAAAAAAACACTTCAATAGGTGTGGTGACACTTGCCTTTAGTCCCAGCACTTGGGAGGCAGAGGCATGTGGATCTCTGTGTGATCAAGATGGTCTACATAGTGAGTTCCAGACCAAATGGAACCCTGTCTCAAAAAGCCCCCCCAAATTCAATATGATAAACATTTATTTCTCATTTAAGATTTGCAGTCCTGCTTGATTTGTGTGGCACGAAGAGTCCCCATGAAGGAAAGAACAGTTCTTCCCTCTTCAGAAAGCTTTACCACCCGCCAGGACCTCCAAGGTAAATTCTTCACAAAGATAAAAGCAGTCATTTCAGAATGCGGGTATCTATGAATGCTACCAGTGTCTGTGGAAGACTCACATTGAGAAGCTGTGGTAGTGATGGCTGCTGGGGTAGAGGTACTACCAGCAACAGCCCAGAGAGGGAGAGACCTGCTCTCGCTGTGTTCCTTTGCGGCTGTATATTTGTGCTGCCAATACTCTTAGCTCTCCATTATCTGCAGTCCGATCTCTGTGTAGTCCACCATCCCCAGATCAAAATTATTCAAGGGGGAATACATATATAAACACACACACACACACAGAGAGAGGGAGAGAGAGAGAGAGAGAGAGAGAGAGAGAGAGAGAGGAGAGAGAGAGAGAGAGAGAGCGCGCATTATTCTGCGCAGATGGATGGTAGGATAACAGCTATTTACATAGTGTTTATATTGTATTGAGCAGTAATCTAGAGATGATTTAAAATATAGCAGGGAGAGGGAAGCTGGGCATGATAGCACATGTCTGTAACTAATCACACACTCTGGAGGTAAAGGCAGGAGGACTGTGAATTCAAGGCCAATCTGAGTTACATAGTGAGTTCCAGGCTAGCTTGGGGTATACAACAAGACCCTTTCTCAAAAACCAAAAATTAACAAAATAAAAAAGCATACAGGGAATGTGTAGGTTAAACACAAACACTGCACTATTTTGCATGAGTAACAAGCTGTCCATGGATTTGGGTGTCCATGGGGCTCAACCCCTACAGATACCAAGGGATAATTAGGGGTAAATTTATGTATGCCTAAGTTTTAATTATTTCCATAGAGGTTAAGTGTCTCTGTGTATGTCTGTGTGTGTCTGTGTGTCTGTGTATCTGTGTGTCTGTGTGTGTAATGCCTGCTGTTGTCTCATAGGCAAGATCACTTCTCTGGACACTAGCACCATGAGAGCCGCCATGAAGCCCGGCTGGGAGGACCTGGTAAGAAGGTGCATTCAGAAGTTCCACGCACAGCACGAGGGGGAGTCTGCGTCCTACGCGAAGAGGCATCATCATGAAGGTAGGTCCTCCACACACTGCTTCTCTTGAAGGGGGTTCTCTTGAAGCTCACCTCACAGAGCTCGTGTCCACCATCTGACCCATAAGCTGCTTGAGAAGATAAAACAAGAGATGATAAAACCACAAAAGGAACAAAAGGAAGGGAGAGGGATATGATAGGATAATAAGGTAACACATAGTCTACAGAAACAGTATCTAATTTCCCAAGGGCACTCTAGACATAGGAATGAATGAAATGTGCAAGTGAGTAAATGGTCATCTCATTGGCCTCATAGCAAGCCAGTGAGGTAGGCATCCTGGTCCTGCCTCTGTAGACTCTCATGAAGCTGAGGCAGGGAAGTGACTGACTTCCAGGCATCCAGTGGGTATCAGGCAGCTGATGAATTCTGTACTGAGCCACAAGCCCATCCCGGTCGTCACTCTGCCATGTCTTCCCAAAAGCCTTTCCACAAAGTCACTTTTTCTCAAGTGCATTTGGTTTTCCTTTACGGAACTGAAAACAAATGAAAAAACAAAAATCCTTTAGCTTTAGCAAATGCTAAGTTGGGGAGAGAGGCACTTTGATTCTATACATGCCTGGTCACCATGCACTTGCTTAGTCCACATCAGCCCTGCAGCTCCTGAGGGATTCATGACAGCAGGGCATTTCATAGCTCAGTGTGGACAATTGTCTACCACTCAGAGGAGAATTTGTAACTAACTGTGGAAGATGGAGCTGTAGTTTGTCATCCATTTGATGTACATCTGTGACCTTGGCTCATACTGGTAAGGGTTGTACATTGAAGCTTTGTGCTTTTTTAGATGAAAAAGCACAAACCATAGTAAATTGACCCTTGCTTCCCTTTGCTCTCCTCCCGGCCCTTCACTTTATTCATCCTTTTTTCTTAGAAATTAAGCGAAGAATCCAACAATTTGTGCCCTCCAATATTTTCATTAATGTTAGATTAGGGAAAATACGTATGGTGCATTTGATAGAAATCAGTTTTTAACCTACTATTTCAGTAGGTAATGACTTATAATAAAGAATAATAACAGAAACTTAAGAAACCACTTTGAGCAAGCCTATTCAGTGTCCTGGGTCCCGAATGCCCTACATTTAATTCACAGACTTTCTGGCTCCTTATAGGAAGGTCTACACAGATATGCCAGGTGCTATACTGGGTTTAAACAGATAAGAGGCACTAAAAAAAAACTACATACAGACTTACAGGTAAAAGTGCTTACTGCTTGAGCATGAATAAGTTCAAATCCACAAAAACTCATGTAAAAAGCTACAAAAAAACAAGTGTAGTTGCATACCTGTAACCCCAGCACTGTTAGGGGAGGGACAGAGGACTGTTGGGACTTGCTGGCTGCCAGGCTGGCTCCAGAGAGTAATAGAACAAGACACCTGGATTCCTGTCCCCCACAGGTACACACACATATGCATACCATATGTACACATTCATACATACACAAATAAAAATAATATAAATAATTTTTTAGTTTATTTTAATTTTTTTTCTTAAGTAGAGGATGTTTAATGCAGAGTATGGTTGTAATAAACCACAAGACTGAAGTTTCACTTTCCAATTTGAAAAATCCCTAAAAAGATCTCCAAACTTGGAACTGGAGAGATGGGTTGGCAGTTAAGAACACTGTCTATTCTTTTAGAGAACCCAGGTTTGGTTTCCAACACCTACATGGTAGCCAACAATGGTCCATAGCTCCAGTTCCAGGGGATTGGACACCCTCTTCGGGGCTCTGCAGGCACTGTATGCACAGATGCACTTATATACATGCAGGCAAAACACACAAAATATAAATAATTTTTTAAAGAAATAGGTAATACCAGGAACTTCCATCTGCATTGAATAAAAATGTGCTAGCAGGCTTTCTGATTTGGGAGCTCCCTAAATGATTCAGGTGTGTGCCCACACATTCCTTCTCAGCAGAGAAGTTGCACATAGACCAAATAGAAAATCTTTAAGAGATTGTAGCAAGGTCAGAAAAAAATTCTGAAATTATAGGCCTCTGGGACTGAGAGTCCTTTACAAAATTGTATTTTAGACACATACTTACTGTGCAAAGCAAAATAAGCAGCATACAGTAGCTGTTTTCCAATATGGAGATGGTTGATAGCAGAAAGCCATGTCTCAGTGCTGTGTCCAGCCAAAACTGCGGAGGGGCCTTTTGATAGACTCTTGAGGAAGCTGTACTAAGAAATCAAACTCTCTCTCTCTTTCTTTCTCTCAGCAGTTTTGTGGCATAGTGAAAATGTGCTTGGTCACTTTGGAACTAGCTGTTAAACCCACAAAACTTGTACTGACAACTATATGGTAGAAGCAAGGTAGACTTCTTAAATGATTTAAAAGACAACTGCTTATCACTTTTTTCTGAATTGAAATAATCTTTTTATATCAAGTATTCATTGTAGTATACAGTTGTGTAAAAAGATTTCAGTCTCGGGGCTTGAGAGATGGCTCAGTGGTTAAGAACACTGACTGTTCTTGCAGAAGACCCGAGTTCGAATCCCAGAACCCACATGGCAGCAAACAACTTTCCGTAACTCCAGTTCCAGGGGATCCGATGGCCTCGTCTGTCCTCCACAGGCATTGCACGACACAGGTGCACTTACCTACATACAGGCAATACACACATACAAATAAAATAAAAATAATAAAATATTTTTTAAAAGATTTCAATCTCGAAATTATTTTAAAGAAATTACATTAATCTAGTTGATTTACATTACATTTTTTGTCTTGAAAATGGGTGTCTGAACTTTATCTAAAAGTTAAAAATAGACCAATGACACCTCACTGAGATTGGCACTTTGTTTCAGTTTTGCTTAGCCTTCTTGAGTATTTCTTTTACTTCCTATTGTTCTTACCACAGAAATAACACTTCTTACATTGTGGGAAACAAAATTGGGAGAACGTACTCTGAGGTGAATGACTAGGTTACCTCAGATGAATATTCTGAAGATTCAGTGTCACCATGTCATAAATTTCATTTTGATATTTATATTATCAGGGAAATCAAAGCAAATTGTACTCTAGAGGTACTATGTTTTACGTTTCATTGTTGTATTGTATTTTAATATCTTAAGCAAATTATGGAAAAGCTTATTTTGACCTGATAAATTGTTTACACTCTACCCTGACAATGAAGATTTAAGAAAGCAGTTTGAGTTTTCAAGCTGTTTTTCTTTTTCCTGAGAAAACAATCTACTAAACTTAATGGTTTTTGAGTGAAAAGTACATGTACTTTTAAATTTGATGTCTTGATATCTCCTTTTAATGACTCCTTTTAACATACTGGTAGGAAACCTGATAGTTTATTACTGTTACTATGGCTTTTCATTCTTCCCCCTCCCCACCTTTCCAGTTTTTTGTTCTTAGTTTTTTTCCTAATGTGCCTTCTGTTTCCTTATTTGCCTGCAGTTCTGAGACAAGGACTGGCATTCAGTCAAATCTACCGTTTTTCTTTGTCCGATGGCACACTTGTTGCTGCCCAAACGAAGAGCAAACTCATCCGTTCTCAGACTACTAATGAGCCTCAGCTCGTGATATCTTTGCACATGCTTCACAGGTAATCTAGTGCTCAGCCTCAGTTTCCCATGTTCAGGGGACAGCTTACAAAAGCAACATACCATTCTAGAGCTTTGCAGTTTTGCTAGATACTTCTGAATTTGACTCTGGTGATATATATGTGTGTGTGTGTGTGTGTGTGTGTGTGTGTGTGTGTATGTATATGTATATGGAGAGAGAGAGAGTCATTATCTAGCCCTGCCTGGCTTGGAACACTATGTAGACCAGGCTGGCCTGGACTCACAAAGATCCACCTGCCTCTGCCTCCCAAGTGCTGTAATTAAAGATATGTGCCACCATACCACACCCAGCCCAGAGATGGCTGATAAAACGAAGTTGTTATTCATTCTTGGCTAGGACCAGCTCATCATATCAGCAAAGTCAGGCTGTCCTTTGCATTTTACCTTTAACATTAAAAACACAAGGCTTGGATATGGCCTCCCTCTCCACTGAAGAAGGGACATTCCCAGGGGCAATACAAATGAGAGCCATGGCTTCTGATCCTGTGTGCTTAAAGCTGTCAAACATATATTCTTTACAATATTTTTTATTTTTGTTTGGGGGTTTAATTAACTTCCTCACATTAGACTTAAATTGAGTGGTGATAAACATTTCTATAGTAAAGGAAAGAAAAATTGAATGTTGATTTTTAAAATAAATGTCATAGACCATATTGTTTAAGTGTACTCATTTAGTAAAATGATTGAATTTCAGATTATATAAATATTTATGTAAATGCTAAATGAAACTTTATGAGGTACTGCCAGAAGATATATAAAGTTGCTCTGCTTAAAGAGTCCATTTCATTGCATTTCTCAGTTATTTTGCTTTCTAGAGCAGGAATGAAAATGCAGACAGCCCTAGTTGCCAACTATTAGTAGATCTGACCTCAAACTGAAACAGTTAGAAAGTGATTACAGAGGTGGCCAGTTTACCCTGCCCCCCAGCTGAAGCTGATATTTAACAGTGATTGAAAGTGATTACAGAGATGACTGATTTCAGCCCCCTAATTTAAGCTGATATTTAACAGTTTGAGAGACCTATTCTGTTTGGATTTGTGAACACATTTGGTAACTCACAAGAAACTGCCAAGGCTGAAATTAAAACTCAAGGGACTTGGGAAGCCTGCTTGTAGGCATCAGCTAATAGGATGGATTGGCATTTTCCTGGAGTAGGGGAATAAAAATCACAAACTATGTTGCCCCAGAACCCCCCACCACAAATTCTCTGAGGCTTTCCCTCTGGTTTGCAATGACTGGGGGGAGAGTGGAGATCTGTTAGGCAAGGTGATGTAATTCCAAGCAGTGGCAGTAACTCTCCTGCCTCAAGTACAGATAGTCTCTAACAGCTAGGAGCAGGGTTTTTCCCCACTAATGTCACAGTCCACCTTGAGCCAAGTGGCATCTATCAGAGCCTCCAGGCATACAGATATGTCCACTGTCAGCTGAAATTTCTGGCAAATGGTTGAAGCCAGTAATGCTTATTTGGGTAGTTTGTTTAGGTCTATGCATGTTCTCAGTTGCTCATGAGGAAGATAGATTATATAATTGGAGCCTTCCTAATGTTCTGTCTACTAACTGAATTTCAGATAGAAGTAGTCAAATTTAAACACACCCCCTTGTGTAAAACCACAGACATCTTAATGAGTTGCCTGAAAAACATGCCTCTGGTCCAGAACTGCACGTGTTCAGTCTTGTCTGTAATTGCAGGTGGTTTCATCCAAGCGCTGCCTGTCCCTTAGATGTAGTCTGCTTTGTAAAGAAGAGACCCTGCCATTTTTCAAATTAATAACAACTCCAGTATTTTCCCTTTTATCTTACGTTTGTTTCTTTCCTTATTATACAGAGAGCAGAATGTATGTGTAATGAATCCGGATCTGACTGGACAAGCTATGGGGAAGCCATTGAATCCAATTAGCTCTAGCAGCCCTGCCCATCAGGCCATGTGCAGTGGGAACCCAGGTCAGGACATGACCCTCAGTAGCAATATAAATTTTCCCATAAATGGCCCAAAGGAACAAATGGGCATGCCCATGGGCAGGTTTGGTGGTTCTGGGGGCATGAACCATGTATCAGGCATGCAAGCAACCACTCCTCAGGGTAGTAACTATGCACTCAAAATGAACAGTCCCTCACAAAGCAGCCCCGGCATGAACCCAGGGCAGCCCACCTCCATGCTCTCACCAAGGCATCGCATGAGCCCCGGCGTGGCTGGCAGCCCTCGCATCCCACCCAGTCAGTTTTCCCCTGCAGGAAGCTTGCATTCCCCCGTAGGAGTTTGCAGCAGCACAGGAAATAGCCATAGTTACACCAACAGTTCCCTCAATGCACTTCAAGCCCTCAGCGAGGGCCATGGGGTCTCATTAGGGTCATCGTTGGCTTCACCGGACCTAAAAATGGGCAATTTGCAAAACTCCCCAGTTAATATGAATCCTCCCCCACTCAGCAAGGTGGGAAGCTTGGACTCCAAAGACTGTTTTGGACTTTATGGGGAACCATCGGAAAGTACAACTGGACAAGCGGAGAGCAGCTGCCACCCTGGAGGGCAGAAGGAGCCAAATGATTCCAGCATGGCCCAGGCGGCCAGCGGGGAGAGAGCCGAGGGGCAGAACCGGCTGCACGACAGCAAAGGGCAGACCAAGCTCCTGCAGCTGCTGACCACCAAGTCCGACCAGATGGAGCCGTCACCTTTGCCCAACTCTTTGTCAGACACAAGCAAGGACTCCGCAGGTAGCTTGCCTGGACCTGGGTCCACACATGGGACCTCGCTCAAGGAGAAGCATAAGATTTTGCACAGACTCTTACAGGACAGCAGTTCCCCTGTGGACTTGGCCAAGCTAACAGCAGAAGCCACGGGCAAAGAACTGAGTCAGGAGTCCAGCAGCACAGCTCCTGGGTCAGAAGTGACTGTCAAACAGGAGCCAGTGAGCCCCAAGAAGAAAGAGAATGCACTACTTCGTTATTTGCTTGATAAAGATGATACTAAAGATATTGGTTTACCAGAAATAACCCCCAAACTTGAGCGACTGGACAGTAAGACAGACCCTGCCAGTAACACAAAACTAATAGCTATGAAAACTGTGAAGGAGGAGATGAGCTTTGAGCCCAGTGACCAGGTGAGTTTTTTAATGCCTTCCCAGGTGAGCACATCTGCATCACCGAGGATTTTCTCCATGGGGCAGTCTGACTCAGTAAAAATAAGTCTTTTCTTTCAGAGGCCTTACCTTGAAACAGAGTTAATTGCAATGAATCTGTGTTACAAACACGTCCCCTAGCAAAGCCTGACTTAGTACCTAGGCTTGGCAGACCCTGTAGTTTGCCTCTTGAACACTGAGCTCTGCCACTGTAGGTCAGAGCAACTTTGGACACTGAGCAAACAGGTGTGACTGTGCTCTAATACAACTCTACCTGCAGACCCTGGAGCAGACAGTTGTGAGCCCAAAATGTTCTTCCTTTGATTTTTTTTGGTGAGTGGTTATGATTACTGCTGCTGGCAATAGGTAAATCCATTCTTAGGTCATGGGTCATACAGAAACAGGGTGGGCAAGATGAACTGCAGACCAGCTGTACTTGACTGACCCCTAAATTGGCAGTAATCACTTTCTCAATCCTGGGCTTCGTCAGGACAGAATTATCTATTTACCTCTCTATATATATTTTATTTTACTATTTTTATTTTATGTGTATGAGTGTATTGCCTACATTTATGTAAATTGCACCCGTGTCGTGCAGTGCCCAAGGAGGATGTCGGATCCCCTGGAACTAGAGGGGAGTTATGAACGGTTGTTAGCCACCATATGGGTCCTGGGAATCGAACCTGGGTCCCCTGCAAGAGCAGCCAGTGCTCTTAACTGCTTAGCCATCTTCCCAAGCCCCCACCTCTCTCTTTTTATGATCAGAGTTTAGCTGGGTTTCAGCCCCAGTGAAGATCCTTCTGCCTCTCTTCTCTCTCATTGAACACTTCTAAGAAATGCAGAATTCCATAGACCATCGGTTTAAAAATACATAAGAGGAAATGGATAGAAGAGCAAAGGTCAACTCCGTGATCATGTGTTTGAGCCAACATCTATCAATTTGAAACCAAAATAATAGGTTATCTTCTCTTTTCTGCTTGTCTCAAAAACCAACACCTTAAAAAAAAATCCAGGGATTCAATATCACCCTTTTTTTTTTCATTGACAAAAACCAGTACCATATGTAGTATGATCTGTTGTAGAATGGTTAAATCAAGCCAGTTAACATAATGTAGTACCTCCTATGCTGACCATTTTTGTGGTACACATGCTTAAAACTTCAGTGATTTTTTTTCAGCGTACATTTGTAACTGTTGCCACCATGTCATACAACAGATTTCTGAAATGCATTCATTTGAAATTCTGAATCCTCTCCAACATCTCTACCCCATCCCCTCAAAACCATTCTTAATAGTACTCAAAGGTGTTAATAGCAACACAGTGAAAAATCAGACTACCAATATTTTTACTTACTTACAAAAACAGATGGGTTATTGCAGCCATAATGGTTTGGCACAAGGCCTTTCCTGGGGAACCCCTGACTGACTGAGAGTTAATGATCCAACTTCACCCTGGGCCATCAACCCTTCCTGAATCCCTGAACATGTCCTGTCTAATAGACTGTTTTTTGAGTCATGATTGGTTGGTTAAGCAGTAAGGAAGCCACAAGGGCCTCTCTATTTAAAATGGCCTGTACTTTCTTCTTGAAATTTGTGTTGCAAGTGGGAATGTTGTACGTCACCAACTTGGGGGACCAGGATTAGTGGGGCAAAGATTGCTGTACCCCTTTTGCAGTGCCCATGAGCCCTTCTGAGTCTTCAGAGGCTGGGTTCGAGGGCAGCTGTCAGGATTACAGAGGCCACGTGCCCTTCAAGCCATGCCCTGCCAGCCAGGCAGGTTCTGAGCACTTGGCCTGTTTTATTTCTTTAGCTTTGATGTCTTGATGACTGTTGCCATTGCTGAGGACAGATAGAATCCTTTAAACCAGCATGCCGTTCACAAGGGAAGCAGAACCAAATTACATCAGCATCATTGGTGATTAATCCTTAAACTTGAATGCTAGTGCAAGGTTCTATGCAGCAGCTATTTTATAATGCTGTAAAATCATGAGCTGGGGAACCTGGGCCTCAGCAGAAAGTTAATAGCAATGTCTTATGTGAACTGAAGTGGAAAACCTTATTGACAACTGTAAGTGCTTTCATCTTTTGAGGTCTACTGGATTAAACTACACAGAGCTAGCGGCAGTTCAGAATGGCAGACACAGATGGTGTCACTCAGGTGTCGACACACGCTAGAGGGCAGAATGGTGACTCAGTGTGGAACATGGCCCAGCCCCTCACTCCATAAACAGAATTTGTTTCTGTCTTAGGCCTTGTCTAAGTCCCTAGGGCCTTAGAGGGTCAAGAAAGGGGTCACTGTTTGGCATTTCTTTATTTATATATGGTTGCATTCCCTTCAGACAAGAAAAAAGTTTTTTTAAGTCTTTGACTCACTTGAGTTTTTGTTATTTAGGAGAAATTATTTTCTCATCAAAATTGTCTGGCCTGAGAAACATAAAGCATAAATCTGTTACTTGGGGAATCACAAAGCAGGGTACACAGGCACACGAACACATGCATATGCAGTAAGTATATTTTCTTGATGAAACCCAGCCCCTGGCCTCACCTTCCCTCACTCCCTCCCAAAACACCACCTAAAATACTGCCTCACAGGGCAATTTTAGCATCAAAAACACTGCAACCTGAAAAGTTACCACAGGAAATATGCATTGCCTAAATTTAGATCAAAGTTAGCATGAGAAAAAAAAATGATGGTTCTTCCCCTCCTGCTCGCCTTTGTTGCACGCAGACAGCTGGTTCTCCTGTCACCTGCTGTACAGGTCACCCAGACTTTTCTTTCACTTCAAGGGAATGCACTAAGTTATTTAGTAAGGAAAAACAGATAGCCTGGATTGCAGTTAACTGTCTTATTATTTTGACTCAAAAAAAAAAAAGAAGAAGAAGGAGCCATTAACTGAGTTAAGTAACTTATTAAGGACAGGAAGTACTTCAGCAGTACAGCACTATTATACCTAAAATAACTTCTTTTTACTGGGTAGAGTATTTAAACAAGATACTTTTCTACGACATTTCCTAGCCAACAGGAAACAGAAACTGTGATAGAAAAATTTCCAGTATGTTTACTGTCTTAAGTCATGTGCTTATTTACACAAGGGAGCAGGGTTGGTACTCAGCCAAGTGACACTCTTGCGTTCTTCCCAATGTTACACTTCAAGTGAGGGCTTGGAAATGGTCTCCTGGTGTTTGACTTGATTAGAAAGGAAAACCACATTTTAAACTGGTAGTGTACAGAAAACTCCCTCCACGCATGCTGGGATTGTGTCACTTTTTCCTAACATCTGTGCTAAGCAGATACTACAAAGTTATGTTTTTTATTTGAAATATTTTCATAAGGTGCTTTGTAATTTTTTAGAGTACTTACGTCATTAAAATGCATGTGTTCTTTATATTTCCTTCAGAGAACAAATTGATCTGATGCATGAAAAAAAATCAGAAAACCAGAAAAATGAAAAATTTAATAAATCAAGTCTATTTTTCATTTTGTGGAACTTTTATAAAGATCTTTCTGACTCATTTTCTGCCTGGAATAGTTTAAACTAACTACCCAAATTGATGTGGCTAATTTGAGCATTCAAATAGATGCCTAAGCAAAACTTTGAAGTATCTTGGCAAAGCATTTTAAAGGAAGGCATTAATCTTTTTGTCTTGCAAAGAAAATGTGCTTAACAAAGTGGGTAGGGTCTAAGAGAGCTTCTAATAAGAATTAAAATTTACTGTAGAAGAAATTTTCTACCAGAAACTTCATGTAATCAAATCTCAACTCTTCCAGAACTTAAATGAACACAGAAGAAAATGCTATAGTCAACCAGCCTAAGGGATATAGATATTCTGAAATTTATCTCCCTGAAGAACATCTAAAGTAAACTTAAAACTAGACATGGTGGTGTGCTCCTGTAATCCCAGCACTCCAGAGGCTGAGACAGGAGGATACCCACTTCTAGGTCAACCTGGGCTACATTAACAAGACCTTGTCTCCAAAATAAAACAACAAAAATGATTAATGAAAAATTCATGTTAAATGCATATTCCAGAAGTTTACAATGAATAAACTCAAGAAAAGCAGTATCTCTGAAAGTTTACATTGTCTTGAAATATTAACCTGAATGAGTTCAAACGGTGTCCAGAACTATGAGTCTCCATAGACCCAGGTCAGCATGAAAACTTCACATAGCTATCCAAAGACATGTTACTTGTCAGAGCTACCCTGATCCACAGCTGAGTTAAGCTAACTTCTTTCTCCTACCTGCCGGCCTTCTTTTCTTCCTTTCTCTCCTGTTTTTTCTTTTTCTCTCTCTCTGATAAAAGTTAATACTCGCTTATGAGGAAAGCTGTCTATTAATAAGGCCAGTCTTCAGCAAAACTCAAACCATTTTGTTTCTTGTAGCTTTCCTAGAAAAATATATTTTTTTTTAAAGCCAGCCTCAGCTACATAGGGGGTTCGATCAGCCTAGGCTACATGAAACCTTATCTCAGATATTTGAAATAAATTGATTTTTTTGAAATAAATTGATTTTTAAGTATTCAAATATATTTTAATATAGGTATATAACATTATATGTACCCATGATATCAAAATATGTCATATGTCAAATTTTGACATTTTTATATACTTAGCATATTACATAAATTATTTTAGACATAAAAATCAATTACAAAGAAAACATGAATCTTGTCAGAACTCTTTGAAAGCCATAGTATAGTATAACATGCCTGCAATCCTAGCACCCAGGAAGCAGAGACAGGAGAATCATTGCAAGTTCAAGGCCAGCCTGGTGTCATGGCGTCATCTGCCTCCAAAAAAAAAAAAAAAAAAAAAAAGCGTGGGAGAGGTTGCAACTATGATGTTCTCATTGTATTTAAAGTGGTTTAGAGTTTTGTTTGTGTGAAAGGGAAGGAGGTAAGAAGGAATGATGGGAGTGTAGCCTCAACTGTCTAAATCTGTAAAAGAAAAAAATATTCTGTTATATGGCTCAGATTAGGGGCAAATTCAAGAAATTTCTATTGAGAAAATGAGCATACTTCTATTTTTATTTATATGAGCCTATTTTGACTATTTCTCATAAGAGGCAATCTGCCAAGCTTTTTCTAGAGGCAATTTATCACTTATTTCAGCCCTCCTCCCTCACCCACTTGTTGAGCTTTAAGGACCACTTTTTAAAAGAACTCAACACAAGGCATCATTGTCAGAAGGCAAAGAAAAGTGAAGAGTCCCACAGAGCCTCTTTCTCCTCTGTTCTTATGACAAAACTATAGATATTTATTAGAGATACATATGAAACACATACATAGAAACACGTACATAGAAAATGGAAACCGTAGAATAGTTTTAAATTATGTGTTAATGCTGGGCGTGGTGGCGCACGCCTTTAGTCCCAGCACTCAGGAGGCAGAGGCAGGTGGATCTCTGTGAGTTCAAGGCCAGCCTGGTCTACAAAGTGAGTTCCAGGTCAGCTGGGGCTACAGGGAGACCTTGTCTCAAAAAGACCAAAAAAAAAAAAAGGTGTTAATGATTAAAGGAATTAATCTCATTGTCTGAGGACCCACCACCACAGACACTAATGTTAATAGGGAAAGGGTCAATTTATACCTGATGCAGTCACCAAAACATAATAAAAATTATTGTATTTAAAGCATGCAAAGTCGGAGTTATGCATTTAGAAGAAAAATAATGATATTACATGATCACTGAAGTAGATGTTTTGCATACCGGTTGACTGACTGAGTTATATGCCCAGGCAGAGGGACCTGAGTTTACCGGGAGGTTGGTTCCTTCATGACTCTTTACAATGTAGACCTGTAACAACAGACTTTTTAAAATGTAGCATAGCCTTTACCTGAAGCAACATATTTAGAACTTCATCCCACCATCTGGGGAAGGCTGTGCTGCTCCATGGGTGTGCATGCAGTCCTGTACCGTCTTTGGGAGTTTCCAGGGTCCCTCTAGTGCTCTGTCGGTAACTCTCCTACAGAGAGCTTTCATTCTTTTGTTGGAAATGGATGACAAGAAAATGGCCTAATAATTGTTCAAACAGTACATTAGGAAATACCTTGAAAATGACTCTCTAAGTTTATTGCTAAGCTAGTTGTCTCTGAAGAGAATCAAATAAAATGTCATTTCAGCTGGATAACTGCCTAAGTTGAAAATATGTCTAGTCAAAAGATATCCTTGGGCCAGCAAGGTAGCTCAGCAGGTAAGGGCATTTGCTGCCAGGCCTAATGGCCTGAGTTTGATCCCTGAGATCCACATAGTAGAAGGAGAGAATCACCTCCCACAAGTTGTCCTCTGACCTCCACATGCAGGCCATCTCTCTCTCTCTCTCTCTCTCTCTCTCTCTCTCTCTCTCTCTCTCTCTCTCTCACACACACACACACACACACACACACATGCATACACAAATAAGTGTAATTTTTTCAGTGAAAAAAAAGATATCCTAGACTCTAGGACAGCACATGCCTGTAATCCCAGTGCTGAGGTAGGAGGATTGCAAGTTTGAGGCAAACCTGGGCTACATAAGAAAGACCTTGTCTCAGATAAACAAAAACAACATCCTATGTAGACACTATATTTATCATAAGTGGCAAAAATCTTAGAACTGCAATCTCTGTGTTTAGGACAGGATTTGTACACAGGATAAAACAGAAGTCACTCCACTGTAAGTGCGAGCTAGGAGCAGATGTATGTATGACTTGTATTTCATTTGCCAATGTGGAGGAAAGGGCTAGTCAGGGATTCAAAGTACATTCAGAACCTTGAGAAAACTGCCTGACTTTCTTGGAATTAGCCCAGTTAAGAGTTGCTCTTGCAGAGGACCCAAGTTCTGTTCCATTCCCAGTGTCTACATCAGGTGGTTCACTGCCCGCAACTCTAGGTGGGGGATCAAACACCCCTGTGAGTGTCTGCAGGCACTCACACTCAAGTGCATGCACCCACAGACATACATGTAATTAAAAATAAAATAAATCTAGCTGGGCGTGGTGGCAGAGGCAGGCGGATCTCTGTAAGTTCAAGGCCAGCCTGGTCTACATAGTGAGTTCCAGGACAGCTGGGGCTACAGGGAGACCCTGTCTTAAAAAGACCAAATAAATAAATAAATAAAATAAAATAAATCTTAGAAAGAAAAACAATTCTTGTAAATTGTTCACTTGAAAGTAACCCTAGCATCTGATTCAGACACTTCTTGTTTTGTTTTTGAACTGGCTACTCTCTGGCCCAAGCTGGCCTGTATTAAGCTCACTGTGTATCCCAGGCTAGCTTTTGCCTAAGTGCTGGGATTACAGGCATGATCATGCTGGCTTTGACACCTTCTTGTGGAATTGTAATCTCTGACTATAAATGCTGGCACACTGATAGAGTCTACTTAGAAGAATGTACATGAAATCACTTTAGTGTTCTTGGAAAGAAAAAAGTAGCCAGCATAAAATAGTGTTAGTTATCTTACCTTACTTACCCTTTAAGTATATTGGTAATTGAATAATCCCAGCACTTGGGAGGCAGAGGCAGGAGGATCTCTGTGAGTTCAAGTTATTTTGATATATCACAGTGAAAGATTTATCGTCCTCTTTTTTTTTTTTTTTTTTTAAAAAAAAAAAAAAAAAAAAAAAAAAAAAAAAAAAGAAGGAAAGAAAGAAAAGAAAATGAATTTAATGAATTTAAGAATTGGTGGCAGAGCTAAAAAACACTTTGTGGTTCCTATAAAGTTAAGTTAACCAATGTTGTGTTCTGGGAGCCACCAGCTTGTGTTCACATCCCTATATTTTGTCACCCTAACTGGTTAGTGACAGAAAGCCACTGTCAGTCAAAACAAAGTGCAAGCAAGCAAAAAGTGCCACTCTGACAGAAAAGACAAGGCTTATCTAGTTCATGGGTACTTCAGGGTTTTTCACGTTCATCCCCCACCTCTCCCTAAAGGAAGTGGCCATCGCTATTTGGACCTCATCTTTCATCAGTTTTGTTGTTGTTCTTATTGTTATTTCTTAGGAAAACTTAACCACAATACCTAGGCCCAAAATGTAAGTCATAGTTCCCTTATAATTGATTGGGGATATACATATTCATACTTAGTGAGACGAGTTGAAGGAATCACGATCCAGAGAGTAGATGACTCATCCCTGGTGGATTTAATTTTTAAACGATGATTGGTTCGTTCTTAGGCCTGACAATCATGTGTGTACCTGCCTCTTTTTTTGGCCAGGGTGTCATGTGGTGGTTAGGTCTGTAGTTGCAGACAGGTGGGGGTGGGGGCCCCCACTCACGGCATGGGCCTGGGTGAACTCTTGTATTTGTTGACTGCAGCCTGGCAGCGAGCTGGACAACTTGGAAGAGATTTTGGATGATTTGCAGAATAGTCAATTACCACAGCTTTTCCCAGACACAAGGCCAGGCGCCCCTGCTGGATCAGTTGACAAGCAAGCCATCATCAATGACCTCATGCAACTCACCGCCGACAGCAGTTCTGTCACACCTGTTGGAGCCCAGAAAGCAGCACTGCGAATGTCACAGAGCAGTGAGTATCACCTGTCGCCACTTTGACCGGGAGAACCAAGGGAAACATGGTAAAGTCTGGTGCAGGCAGCTTAGTCACTTTGGAGGGTTTTGTGATCAAACAGCACCACCTACTGTCCAGGTCTGTGAGAAAGGGCTCAGCATGGAATCTGGTATGCAGGCTCTGACAGCCTCTTGTGTGCAGTAGCAGCTGGACCGACCCTGCTGGTTCTTCAGCTGATTGTAATAGCTCTCTCCAGGTCACTTAGGCCTGCAGAGAAGGATTTTAGAAACAGATTTTATGTGACTGAATACTTAAAATACAGAAAACTAGGGAGTTATGTGACCAAAAGTTTCAAGCCTGGCATGATGCTATACTTGTGCAATCTCGGCATTTGAGAGGCTGAGGTAGAATTGTGAGTTGAGGCCATCCGGGGCTACATAGTAAGACCCCCTCCCCCAATCTCAGAAAAAGAAAAAAGAAAGATTTTTTTTAAGTGTTTGTTATATATGAAAAGACTACTCACAGTCCAAATGCTTTGCCCTGTCACTTAGACATCTCCATAGGAACACCTGTTTGACGCAGAGCTTTATCATTATTTTCTCAGAGTGTTTTAAGATTAATTCATGTGCAGCTGGGTGTGGTGGTGCACACCTTTAATCCTGGCACTTGGGAGGCAGAGGCAGGCGGATCTCTGTAACTTCAAGGCCAGCCTGGTCTACATAGTGAATTCCAGGCCAGCTGGGGCAACAGGGAGACTGTCTCAAAAAGATTAATTCATGTGTTACTTACAAAATACCTTTTATTTTTAAAATTTTTTAAGTTGAGGATAAGCTCTTAATCACTGTGACCACATAGATAGAAAACTTGATTATACCTAGTTTTTAGTTTTTGAATGAAGAACATTTTCTTCCATATAAATTGGTAGAAAGACAACCCCTTTGGTGTTAGTAAATAAAAATGACTGTTTTCCACCTCAGCTGGTTTGAGCCAGTACCTAGCATTGTTCTCAAATCAGACAGGGAAAGCCCTAGCCACATCAGAGATTATCTGTAACCACTAGATACTAGATCCTTTTTCATGTGATTCCTGACCACTCTGGAAAGGGGAAACCAAAAAAAAAAAAAAAAAGATGTGGTTTTGTTTGACCAGGGAAGTCACAAAGTCAAAGAATTGGAAACCAGATACAAACCATGCCAGCTTCTGCCCATTAACCCACAGAGAGAGCAGAGCACTTTTGGGGGGCTAATGGTTTCTCTCTGGAACTCCCAGTGGGATTAGCATCAGCACATAGTAGCCAGGTAACTAACCTGAGGAAGGCATGCTTGAGAGCATACATAATTTCTGTTCCTAGCCCTAATTTTTCTAAATGCTTTATTGCTACTATAGATTGTCTAAAAGTTCCTCTTTCTTTTAGCTATGCAATTCCAGTCTATATTTATATAATTTAGAGAAAGCACTTTATCTAAAGGTTAGTTCTATGAATTATAATATATAATAGCTAAGTATTTTAAATTTCAGTAACATTATCAAATTGCAGTGTGTGTACATGACACAAGTATATTGCTTAGTATACAATCAGTTCTTCTGAACAAAGTATAAAAATCATTTCAAATCTCAATGTGTCCAGAGTTTAAAGAGGCTGTATTTACAGTAATAACCTTTAATATTGCTTCAGGTAACATGGTTTATACTTAAAGATTTTAACTTACAATGAAAGTATCCACTTTCTAACCTTAGAAAGTCCAGTTAAGAAATAATATTCTGAGCCAGATGTGATGGGACACGCCTTTAATCCCAGTGCTTAGAAGGCAGAAGCAGGCCGATCTCTGTGAGATTGAGGTCAGCCTGGTTGGTCTACATAGTGAGTTCCAGGCCAGCTGTGGCTATAGGAAGACCCTGTCTCATAAAGACCAAAAACAAAAGAAAAAAAGAAAAGAAAAGAAATGATATTCTGACATCCAGATCATATATGAATGTATTTGCTCTTACATGCAAGAGATGCTTATAGCTTTGCTGTTGAACAGTCATTACTCCTGAGCCAGGCATGGAGACACACACCTCTAGTTCAGTCCCTGCAGGCTGAGGCCAGAGGATCAGAAGCTGGAGGCAAAACCTCATCAAAGAAAAAATAATGAGAAAGAGAAGAAAAAAACAGTTTGAATAATATAATGAAAAATATCATATTAATGGTTTGTTCAATTGTCAGTATTACAAATTACTACTGGAGAGAAAAAAACAGTGAATAGTCTGGATTTCCTTTTTGCAAAGTCATCAAGAGTTAGATCAGAAACCTGTGGCTCATATTGTACCTCTCCATTTCAGTGCTGCATATGTTTTCTGTCTGAGATGTCATCCGTGAAGGTAGTTGGTGCCTGGTGTGCATCTTTGTTATTTTACGGGTGACATTTTCCCTAAACACTACTACTGTTAATATTCTTTTCCATTGTCCTTTATTAACCTTTAATTTTTCATTTGTTTTCTCCTTAGCTTTTAATAACCCACGACCAGGGCAACTGGGCAGGTTATTGCCAAACCAGAATTTACCACTTGACATCACATTGCAAAGCCCAACTGGTGCTGGACCTTTCCCACCAATCAGAAACAATAGTCCCTACTCAGTGATACCTCAGCCAGGAATGATGGGTAACCAAGGGATGATAGGAAGCCAAGGAAACTTAGGGAACAGTAGCACAGGTAAGGGCTCAAATGCACTGTTTTCTTGGTGGGTTGTACAACTGAATGACGTATTTGTCCACATCAAACTGGTAGAACTTTCCCCAGTGACTTGTTAGAAATTAACGTGAAAGTACAAAAACCCTCCAGGTTCTCTGTGAGAGTGGTGTGTGGGAAGCCACTCCAGCGAGCTGCCTTGTCCTTAAGTGAGTGGGGCTTTGATGAGGGGCCTGGACATCCGTCTTCTTGTCTGGCTTCCTTCATTTCCATCCCAGATACTGGTCAGGATGTGGAAGGGTGTATGTAAACTAAACTGGTGATTGATTGCTAGCTTCCAGTGATAATCTGCTGACACCAGCAAAAAGCTTTAATGATTTGTGTTTGGAATGTTTCAGAATGGTTATTTAAAATTCCACCAACCTTTCATAATTCTGGGTAATCCTATTTTCATTCAGAAAGAAGTAACTTAATTAAAAGTAAAGAACTTTCTATAGAGAATTCCAGGCCAGCTGAAGCTACGGGGGGACCCTGTCTCAGAAAGACAAGGAAAAAAAAAAAATAAAGAACTTTCAGGACCCAGTGTGGTGGTGCAAACCTTTAATCCCAGCACTCAGGAATCAGAAGCAGGCAGAGCTCCGTGAGTTCAAGGCCAGCCTGGTCTACATAGGAGTTCCAGGACAGCCACAGCTATGCAGTGAGACCCCCATCAGAAAACGAAAGTAAAAAAACTTTCACCAAACTCAGGGCATATTCCTCATAGAGGCCATAAACTTGGTTTTGTTGTTTATTGGTTTTTGGTTTTTTAGTTTTCTTAATTTTGAAAGCATTTAATAGCTCTGATCAGGACAAAATTATATGAGCACATTAGTTTGAGACCACAACATGGTGCCCATTTCAAAAGATATAATAGCAACAATAACTTTAAATAATGATATACCTGGCCCAGTAATTACCTTCGGAGCTGATTCAGGGTGGTGTTCGTAAAGATTTAGCGTGTTGCCTGTGATCTGGTTTAGACTTTGACCTGCTGTAATCTTCAGGTGTCTGCCACATTACCCAGGCACATTTCCTAAGTAATACTTCTGTCACAGCAGCTGACATATTCCCCAACTGCCATAGAATTCAGGTCTGAACTTACTGTAACAGCACTGACTGGACCTTAGAACATCATTTGTACTGGATACAGGAGCATGCTAACTTTCCTATTGAAGAGCTGCTTACAGTTTATAGCTTTCTTCCTTTGTCTCAATGAAATATTAGAGAGAAAGGCATAGAAGGAAATGGATTTTATAAAAAGAACTTACAGTTGTGGGTGTTTTAGTTCTTAGTATTTTATTTTTAGCTCGGCCTGTAATTCCCATACATTCCCATTTAGATAGTTAACTAAAGATTAGAGTTCCATTTAAGGGGAAATAATGGATGTTTCATTTCCTGTAAACTGGAAACAAATTCATGGAATGCATGAACTGTGCTGTATTCATTTATTCGTTCAACAAATGTGACTGCTTACTGTATGTGCCACTGACTAAATTATAAATTCGTAGAAATAATGCCATTTTCACTTTGTTGTTTTAAGATAAAATACTTATTTAGAGAAATACTGACAATGTAAAATTTTATAAGTGAAAATTAGCTGCTGGTTTATAAGGGTGGCTCCGTATCAGCTGAATGCAAAGCATTTAGGAATTACCGGAGGAGTCTTACATAGTACCACGGGGATGGGTCCACCTTAAAATCTGGGCAGCCTTGAAGTCTCCAATACCTAGTATGTAAAGATCACACACTGCCCTCCCTCTGCTTCCAAAACAGACAAGGACTCAAAGGAACAACACCTACTCTCATTGCACTAAATTGTTGAGTTATGGGTGATTTTTTTTTCCCTTTTTTTTTTTTTTTTTTTTTTTTTTTTTGGTCTTTTTGAGACAGGATCTGTCTGTAGCCCCAGCTGACCTGGAACTCGCTATATAGACCAGGCTGGCCTCAAACTCTCAGATTTCCACCTGCCTCTGCCTCCCAAGTGCTGGGATTAAAGGCATGCACCACCATGCCCGGCTAAGTAGGTTTTTAAAAAATTAAAATGCTTTTCTCCCATAATGTTTGTATAGCTCACATATAATGTAAAATGATTTTAATTATGTATTAACATAGTTCTAGTTTTTAAATTCTCTATCATCCTTAGTGCTTTCTCATTTCATAAGTAAAGAAACACCCATAATACCTGTTCTCTCTGCTTGTTAAATATTTTGAAAGTTTTGGTTGCTTATAACAATTATAATAAATGAAAGCAAGCCATGTATTTGAAAGCAAAGCCTTTATATACCCTGTATCAACTATTTCAAAATAAAGAGATGTCATCTGTGGAGCTTCCCCTTCAGAAAATTAGGTATTATCCATGTTTGACTGTTACCAACATCCAGGAACTGGGCACAGTTCTGGTGCCACATCCTGGTGCTGCGTGCTCATTGTTCCGTGTGGTCAGATGTCAAGTGCAGAAGGATTTTCTCACACCTGTCCTAACCCGTTCTGGATCTGTACAGTCAGGATACAGTGGTCCAGGAATATTAAATTCCCTTGGACTTGAGAATCTTAACAAAAAGGTCTTTCATTTCTCTATTACTTAGAGACTGCCCTTGATAAGTTTTGAAATTTACCAATTTTTTTATGAAAGTTATTATTGATGTATAGACTACATACAGAAATACATCTATAGTATGAGTGTAGCTTGATGAATTTTCACACAGTAGATGTAACTGTGTCCCTAGAAGGTTACCAATTTCTGATACACTGAAATGAATTCGAGGATTAGAAGTCTCCTATAGGCTTTATGGAATGTTCTCTGATTTGGGTTGATAAACATGGGCTTGATCATCAGTTCTTAACGTCGTTCCTCCGTGCCTCACCTCCCCTTTGGAAAGTAAAGCACTGACGTGTATCTCAGCTAATGTGATTCACTTCCTGAGGAAGGAAGTTGGGGTTATCCACTCGCCACAGCACCTGTTTCTAAGTACATACGGGAACAATTTTAACATCTCTTTTGAACTGTACAGAGTAGCAGGTTCATGTTGTGAAAGCTCTGTAGTAATTGCCAATTTTTACTTCTTAGCCAAGGGTCCACATCTGCCCTCAGGGAGGGTGTTAGCTGTTGTGAGACTGGGTTACAGAGTCTTGTCTGGGTCTTGCAGTGAGGTCTGTTGTTTGTATCTGCTCACTATGTTTTCAGTGTCTGCATCTCTCAGCTTCCTTTGCCTTGTGTGCAGGAATTATTGGTAGTAACACTTCCCGGCCCACCATGCCTTCTGGGGAATGGGCACCACAGAGTTCGGCTGTGAGAGTCACTTGTGCTGCTACCACCAGTGCCATGAACCGACCAATTCAAGGAGGCATGATTCGGAACCCAACAGCCAGCATCCCCATGCGAGCCAACAGCCAGCCTGGCCAAAGACAGATGCTTCAGTCTCAGGTCATGAACATAGGTAAGGCAGTTCAGTGCTCTGTGCTCTTATTACGCTTTCTTAGAATGCATTTCTTAGAATAGTGTCAGCCCCACAGGTCCTTCTAAGGCGTGCTCCTTCACTGCAGCTTAGGTAATCCTCTAGTGTGAAGCTGTCCTAACTAGGCTTTTACTGAAAGTCTGTAGAATCATAGACTCTCACATGCTTTCCAGAGAACAAACTACTTTTGTGATATTTTGTTTTCATTAAATTGCCTCATTTTAATTTGGGGGAGAAGTGAATTGGAATGTTGCGTTCTAAATGCTGTATGCATGTACATGCACATATATGATACTTTTAAAGTAAAATAATAGATCAGTGGTATGGCTCTAGTTTCTCTGTGATCTTCCCAGTTCTCCAAGTGTTCCCCTCCCTGCCCCCCTCACCCCCACCCCCACCAGACTCTTTCCCAGTCCTAACTGAAGACATGGGCTCTCATAGAACACTGCACAGCATCTAAGTATCTCTAGACTTCTATTTGGAGACAGTTCACATGCTATTAAAAAGCCATTTGTGTGAAGTATTCATCATAGGCAAATCTGTTGTGGCTACCTAAGGATAAGAGTCTGAGTAGAAGTGGAGAGTGACTCCTAGTGACAAAAGTTTCTTTTTGAACAAACGATGTTCCAACATTGATGCAGTGATGATTGTTCAACTGAATATATCAACATCCATTGGATTATACACTTTAAATGTGTGAATTCTATGACATAAATTATCTCAGTATAATTGTTACACTAAAAAAATTAATGAGCTTACCTGTAATTCCAGCACTTGGGAGGTAGAGGTGGGAGGAACAGAAGTTCAATGTCCTCCTCAGCTACATAGCTAATTTGAGGCCAGTCTGGGCTTAATGAGACCCTATCTCAATAATAATAATAATAATAATGATAATAATAATGTCTATATAGCTCCTACTTGAATTATTTTCTTAGTCACTGACATATAGCCTTCCTCTTGTACATTATTGTAATTCTGAAAAGCCAGTATTTGTATACTTTTATATGTTAGATATTGTACAGTAAGTACTAATTCATGCACAGGAAGATGCCAAATTGTTTTGACAGAATAGCACAGAATTCCCGTCAGAACTCTACTGTCAGTTTTCTTACCTGGGTATTTAACTGATCCATATGTTCTGGCTCAGAATTCCTGAGAGGTAATGTTTATATTGCCTTTCTACATAGTATATACTCAAAGTAATAAGTGGTTCCCACACCTAAATTCATGTCATTTGAAAATGCTAAGAATAACGAAATGCATAAAAATGTTAAAAATACCAAAATTTCTATGGAAAATTAAACTGGAAAAATTTTATGGTGTTGAAAGTCCAATAAGAGGTCTGTCATATACAGAATTTATTCCCAGTCTTCACTGAAGAGCTTCTCACTTTTTGAATTTGAGCTCTGCAAGCATTAATATGTAGCTGAACTTGGTTGTGAATAAACTCAGAGAAGCCATGAACTCAGCCTGATGGAAAATTGTCCATTATAATGGAAGTCCGGTCTACAGATAATGATATAATATAATTTAAAAGCTCATACCATCCCTCAACCCAAAAAGAACCTCAAAGAAGGAGCATGTCTGGGCTGTCTGCTCTTACTCTGGAAGAACTGACCAAAGTGTAGCTAGCCAAAGTTCAGGTGCAAGAGGCCTAGACCAGCACTTGGGCTCGCTCCCCAGTGTCTTACAGGGGTGTCTGCAGGGCCCCAGCTGTTCTTGTCATGATGCAGACAAGTGTCTTCTTCAGTTGCATTCTCTGCAAGCATGCAGTGGTTCTGCTAACACATGTGCAAGCAGTTGCACAAACATGAAACCATGCCAATGAATGGGAATTTGCTTTACATTTTTCATTAAAAATTATAATTACGTTAATATAGCTGACTAATTTTGATGATTTATGAATTTTTTTTGGTCTTTTTTGAGACAGGGTCTCCCTGTAGCCCCAGCTGTCCTGGAACTCACTATGTAGACCAGGCTGGCCTTGAACTCACAGAGATCCACCTGCCTCTGCCTCCCGAGTGCTGGGATCAAAGGTGTGCACCACTACGAACTACAGGGAGACTCTGTCTCAAAAAGACGAAAAAAAAAAAAAAAATCCTCTTCCAAGGTTAAGATCCTTGAGATTTATGGTTTTTAATGAATTAGTATTTTTATTTTCCAATATAATAAATATCACTGAGATCTAACACACATAAACAAATTTGTAAGCAAGTAGAGATTCCTGTTGTTACTACTCATCTAGATATGCCCTAAAGTGGACAGGATTAAAGTTGGTATTTATTGCTTTTATTTCTACTTTGTGGCTGAATTTTATGGCCTTATTTTCACCCAATTACTGCATCTGTCTTTCCATTTCACATAAACCAGCTCTTTCATTTTATATTACACAGTAGAAATGCATACTTCCCTGATTATAAGATCTAAGGTTTGGGTTGTTTTGTTTTGCTTTGTTTTCCTCCTCCCTCTTTAGGGCCTTCTGAGTTAGAGATGAACATGGGAGGACCGCAGTATAGCCAGCAACAAGCTCCTCCAAATCAAACTGCTCCATGGCCTGAGAGCATCCTGCCTATAGACCAGGCATCTTTTGCCAGTCAGAACAGGTGAGTCCTGGTTGCTGGGAGAGCAGCAGCCCATAGGTTCTGTGAGTTATTCCAGACCTACGCCTAGAGTGAATTCCTTCTGAAAGGGTGGCGCCTGCCCAGTTGTCATTTCTTCAGAGCAAATCATCTACCAGGCAGGGAGTGAAAGGGAGGATGCAGAAATCAGCAAGAGCTAGATACACCTTTGAACATGTTGAAGTTTTGGAAAGTGGTCTAAGATGTGTGTGCTGATAAGTGTAAGTAGGAAGTAGTACACAGTGTAAATGCATTGAGAGAAATAAACCGTGTATCAACAGCTTATCCAACTAAGATGACTGGGGAAGGTTTGAGTCTTGAAAAAGAGAACAGGTACAGAATAGAGGTGACAGGGCCCAATACACTTGGCAAAGCAGCATCCTGGAGGCCCAGGGGTTACAGAAGCAGTATGGTATGCATACGGTAACAGGAAATGATCTTGCTTTGTGTTATATATTTTATCACTAAAAAAATAGAGATTAGGAGGATGGTACAGTTGGCAAAGTGGTTGTTGCACAAACATGAAGGCTTGAGTTCAGATCCCCAGAGCCCATGTAAAAATTCAAGTGTGGTGACAAACATTTATAATCCCAGCACTGGCGAGGCAGAGGCAGGAGGATCCTTTAGGACTCAGTGGCCAGCTAGTTTAGCCCTAATCAGTGAACCCCAGGTCCCAGTGTGAGACCTTGTCTCAAAAAATATGGCAGATGGCTCCTGGGGATCAGTACCCAAGGTTGACCTCTGGCCTACATGTGCCCGTGCACACACAAACTAAAATAAAAGATGACAGCAAAAAGTTTGGCTGGAAGAATGGATTAGTAATAGATGTATGGAGGATCTTAGATAGCAAACCCTAAAGAATACAGGTATTTTTCATTGAGCTGTTCAAAGATTTTTGAAACATAAAGAAGGTATTGATCAAATTTAATTGAGTTTTTCTTCTGATTTTCTAATCACCTTTGTTACTTTGTAGGTGATCTTTTCTCATTGCTTTTGGAATATTCCTCAGACTTACCCTATGAGGTTATACTAGCTGACCACTGAGTCTTTGTCTTGCTGGGATTACAAATGTTTGCCACCGCACCCAGCTTTTTACATGGAGAGCTGAACTCGGGTCTTCGTGTGAGCATAGCAAACAGCAGCATATTTTGTTGCAGTGTGTCTAAGTGTGGATTTATTTATTCCACTTTGTATTTAGTATATGTTGTATTTTCTTTTTAAAAATATTTTGTTATTTTTAATTTTGTCTCTGTGTGGGGGTTTGTGCACATGAATGCAGGTACTCAGGGAGGCCAGAGGCATTGGAGTCCCCTAAGACCTGAACTTACAGGTATTTGTGAGCTGCTGGATGTGGGTGCTGGGAACTGAACCCCAGTCCTCTGGTAGAGCAGTATCTGCTCTTAACTGCTAAGATCTCTCTCCAGGACATGCTGTATTTTATTTTTCTCTTGATTCATGTGGGGAGAGGGGTTGGTTGGTTGGTTTTATTTAATTCGTTTTGTTTTGTTTTGAGACAGGGTCTCCCTATAGTCCTAGCTGACCTAGAACTCACTATGTAGACCAGGCTGTCCTGGAACTCACAGAGATCCACCTGCCTCTGCCTCCTAAGGGCTGGGATTAAAGATGTGTGCCACCATACCCGACTTTGTTTTATTTTTTAATCTCACTCTGTAGCCCAGGCTAGTCTTGAACTTTAGAGTCCTTATGTCTCAGCCTCCTGAGTGCTGGTATTACAGGTATGTACCACACACTAGTTCTGGAAAAATTACAAGTTTATGTTTATATATTGCCCTTCCTCTGTTTTCTCAATTCTTTGTTTCTGGGATTCTGACAAGACATGTTAAACTTCTGTTTTAGCTTTAATTTTTATTGATTTATTATTATTGTGGGTATTATGAGTGTGGATACATGCACAGCATGGTGTAAGTGTGGAGGTCAGAGAAATAACCTTGGAGAGCTGGTTCTCGCTCCATGGATCCTAGGGACCAAACTCAGGTTTGGTGGCAAGTGCAGTTTTACTACTTTCTGAGCCATCTTGCTGGCCCCATCCTCTGTATTTCTTGATTCATATGGTTTTCATCTTTTAATTTCTGTGTACTATATTCAGAATAATTTATTATTACTTATTATATTCATTTTTAACAGTCACTTCCCTAGTCATTTTTCAGTCTTATTATTTGCTTCTTTTATATGTTTAAACATTATATTCATAGTTATTTTTTCTAAATTTCTTGAAATACTTCCTACATATGTGTTGGGGGGTAATTCTAAATTCAACTATTGATTCTCACCCATGATGGCCCTTTTCCCTGTCTGTTTTGATAGCCTTTCTTTGGGAGTTCATAATTGGTCATGCTCAGTGGATGTGAATTGAGGCTGCTTTCATAGAGAGGTTTGCACTGGTCTCTGGTGGAGATAGTGACCACTGTTGGTGGAGTCTTTTGGGTCCCCCAGCTCAGTTCAGCTGTCTCAAATTACCTACCATACCTGAAACTTCTTTGCTGTGGCCCAGGATCCCAGTGCTCTTCTGCTTTAATGGATAAAAAAGTATTTCTCAACAGTTGCTCAGGGTGCTCAGGGTTTTTTTGTGGTTTTTTTTGGTGGTGGTGATTGTTTTTAATTTGTTTTTATTAAATTTTGTTGTATTTCATACAGAATATCTCAAACAGTCTGAATCATCTTTATAGCCCCATCCCCATCAGCACCCTCCCATGGCCTCCCCCCCACTGGAATCCATATACTCTGTCCTGGGTGTCAAGGCCCACTGTGTCAAGTCAGTGCCCCCAGACATTCCCCAGTGCAAGTCCATCCCTCTCATCTATCTATCCTAACACCTATCATTTTCTTTTTTTTAAACAGAGCATTAGGGTGGGGGTTTATTTACAGAGGAGTGGGCACCACTGCCCGCCCCATTTACAGCTACACTGGAAGGTCCACACTCAAATACAGACAAGATGCTCAGGTTTTAGCTCCTAGACGATTTGGTTTGGTTGTATATTTGCCTCTTAGAGAGTTACACTCTGCAAACTCAGCATCACGGTTACATTGTACAGATAACTTAATTGTTACCCTCTAATAGTGTTTGCCAGAGAAGCACGTGTTCCCTAGGTGACCTTGAGGACTAAGTGATGGCATGGAGGGAGGCTCAGAAGAGGGAGAAGGCTGGAGACAAGGAGGTCCATTTCCAAGCCTAATCAGAAGGCAGTGTAAGAAATCCAAGGTTGCAAGTGATGCCTTCGTGAAGCTGGCTTGTTAGAAAACCTGCACTTTTAAGATCATCAGCAGCAAAGATTGGCCAGAAGGTGCTTACATTGAGAACTAGCCTTGAGCCTCACAGAGAACCTTCCTGCAGGCTGGACAGTCAGTGAGGTCTCCAATCTGAAGGGTGGCTCTTTGCAGAGGAGCTGCTTTGTTTTGTAACTGCCAGTTTCCAAGAAAGTCCTACTTGTCCTGCTTGAGAACAGGTGACCCCTGCACTTTTAGTAGAATGAAGGCAGTGGAGGACCAAGAAAGGGCCGCAGTCAGCTGGGCAGTTGGTCCCTGACTGCCATAGGCTTCAGGCAGAGAGCATCCCATGGCTGCAGTCACAGTATAGGCAGTAGCTTCTCGGGGTCCTTCAGGTCTTCGACCCTAATATGATGTCAGTGAATACGATTATTTGATATATTAGAAGCCCACCTACTTCCATGGAAATTTGTACAGAATACAAATATATAATAATTAAATGATAGTATAGTTTTTTTCATGAAATCAAAGATTAATTTCTAGGAAAATCTAGGTCCAAAGTAAGGATCTTTACTGTTACATACACAAGTTCTATAAGCAGAGACAGAAGCAGGTCTAGACTCAGGCTTGGCCCAGTGACGGTGAGCCAGCTTAGCTTGCTGTTCAAGGCTGGAGCCCCAGTGCTGCCCCCTTTGCTGTTGCTCTGTGACTAGAACAGTGGGCAAAACAGAACGTTTCACCACTTCCACAGTTATGTCAGTCTTCTGAACTATTTATCTCACTAAGTTTGAAAGAACTTTGTAGAATAACTAGCTTTATAAAATAATAAAAAATTATTGTCATAAAAATTCAAAAGTGATGGGTAATAAAGATTTTAGCCACATCTCTTGAAATAAAGGAAAGGCAGTATTCCTTTGTTTAAAATCCCTTTATAAGTTAATATTTAGATCCTATGTTTGTTTGTTGAGACAGGTTCTTCTTATGCATCACAGGCTAGCCTCAAATTCACTGTGTATCCAGGGTGACCACAACTGAAGTGACAATCCTCCTGTCTCTGTTTCCCAAGTGCTAGGATCATAGGCATGAGCCATCAGTTGATATTCAGGAATAAATTTTTTACTGACTTTTTTATTGCACTAGTTTATTTTGTGTGGGGGGTTACTAATGCATACCACAGTGTGTGTGTAGATCAGAGGACACCTCTCCTTCCTGTGGGTCCTGGAGATCCAACTCAGATCCTTAGGCTTGGTAACAAGATGACAAGAGTCATCTCCATGGCCCCTTCAGTGTTTTATGAATAATCCAGCATTCATTTATGCATACATTTTTAAAAGATGAGCATTAAACCTATAACACATTTTGCATATTTGTTTATTTACAAATGAGCTTATATTTTCCAGGTTTTTTAAATTCCCATTGTTGTCCTTCATTCATATGTATAAAATATGTTTACAATATAGTAAATTTGGAGTCTAATCACAGTAGTGCATGCCAGTTCTTGGAGGTGGAGACAGAAAGATCAGAACTTTAAAATCACTTACCAGACATGGTGACACACAACTTTAATCCCAGCAGAGGCAGAGGCTGGCAGGTAGGCAGCATATCTCTGTGAGATTGAGGCCAGCCTGTTCTACAAAGCAAGTTCCAGGCCAGCTATACCTGCAGGGAGACCCTGTCTCAGAAAGACCAAAAAAACATTTTTTAATGGCTTTTGAAGATTATTCAAGGAATTTCCTGTTGAAATTCAGTAGCTTACTTTCAGGAAAGATTTCTTTTCATGAAAAGTTTAAAGTTTCTGAGTTTGGTTTTCTGTTATCTGAAATATATAAAAATAAGGTTTCATCTGTTGACTTTTTCTTGTCATTCAGTGGCTGGACTTTAGGATGGGGATTTCTGGGGGAGGTGTGACCTGGCAGCAGAACATGTGCTTTACAAGTGAGAAGCTCTGGACTAGTCAGTCCCTGGAACCACAAATACAGTTGGGCGTATATATATGGTGGATCTCTCTTCTAGCGTATCTGCCACTATTATATACCATCTTGGGAGGCATGGGAGGGGTGTCCTTTGAAGCCCAGTCTTGTCCCAATGTTATATTTATCAGTCAGATGCCACCTAAACTACAGCTATATTTGTAATTGCATAAGGCATAGGAAAATAATTTCTTAATATGTTGATCTTGGCATGCTAGTGCAAATTTGCAATCCCAGTGCTTGGAAGGCTGAGGCAGGAGGATTGCTGAAAGTACAAGGCCACCCTTGGTTACATAGTGAATACCAGGCCAACCAGGGCTACATAGCAAAAAACTTCTAAAAAAAAAACGGAAGAAGCGAAGAAAGGAAGAGAAGAAGGAATAGTTTAATGCATTTATAAAGTTGGAATTTTCCGTAAACAATGCATATTACCATTTCTCTGAGGGAAGTCATAAAATTACTAGTGTGACCAAATTGGTAATATATGATGCAGAGTAATTTTCTCAATATAAACATGTTTTGTAACATGGTAGCCCACCAAGATCAGTAATCTTTTGTTTTCATCAGCTGGAAAGTTCCTAGACCTATGGTTTATTTTCAAGCACAAGCTAACAAAGAGGTAGAACATGAGTCCCACCTCACTGTGTAATCTGGCACTGATGCTTTTAAAAATATTTTATTTACTATATTTATTTTTATGTGTATGAGTGTATTACTTGCGTATGTTGTAAGTTCACCCATGTCATGCAGTACCCACAGAGGTCAGAAGAGGACATTGGATTCCCCTGGAACTGGAGTTACAGATGGTTGTTAGCTGCCACATGGATGCTGGGAACCAAACCTGGGTCCTCTGCAAAAGCAGCCAGTGCTCTTAACCACTAAGCCATCTCTCCAGCCCCACATGGATGCTTTTTAACATAAATTCCATGTCAACTCAGCATAGCACAGAGAGTGATTTAAGAGGAAAGTGGGGTGGTCAGCAGTGCCTGTGAGGTGTTTAGAGCTGGTGGGAGGGGACCCTTAAGTAAAGAGGTGAATGGGAAGGGCAGAGCAATGAGACTTGGTGTTGTGTGTATGGCATCCTCTGCAGAAAGATCAGTTGTCCAGGGTTGCTGGGGCTCATGGAAAGCTGTGGGTATGACACCTGAAAAGGTCAGATGTGTCCACAGGTATGTCCCTGAATTCCATTGCTGCTGTTACCCTGCCCCAGTTAACTTAGTCGTTTTCAGAGTAGAGCTGAGGAACCAAGTAGGAACTGTTAAGTGCAGTGTGTCTGGGGGAAAAGATCCTTAGGGTATCATAGTAGGAGAATCCCAGAGAGACTGTATGCAGGAGAGCCTCTAGGGGAGTGCCCCAGAGTCCCAGCTTGAGCTGAAGAGGCCTGTGGCCACAGTGGGAAGCTGCGGGTACTTCTTCACCTTTTGGGTGTGGGTTTTTCCACAGTGCTACAGATCAAACCCTTGTATATGCTGTGCAAGCTCTCTACCACTGAACTACCTCCAACCTGCTTTACTTTTTGTTGTTGTTGTTGTCGTTGAGATAGGGTCTTCCTGTAGACCTAGCCGGCCTAAAATTTGCCATGTAGACCAGACTGGTCTCTATCTCATAGAGATTTGCCTGCCTCTGTCTCCACAGTGCTGGGACAAAAGGCATGTACCACCACACTTGGCATGCTTTTTTAAAAATAACTTTTTATTTTATAATGCATAAGTATTTTGTCTTTATGTATATAAGTGCACTACGTGTGTGCAATGTCTGCAGAGACCAAAAGAAAGGCATTGGATCCCTTGGAACTGAACTTACAGAGGGTTGCTAGACCCACCCTGGGTCCTCTGCAAGAACAGCCATTGCTCCTACCCTCTGAGCCATCTCACCAGCCCCGTTTTACTTTTTAATGTATACGTATGTTTGGGGGTTTTTTCCCCAATATTTATTATTTTTATTTTATGTGTATTTGATTACATGTATCTAAGTACACGATGTGCATGTGGTGCCCACAGAGGCCAGAAAAGGGCACCTGATACCCTGGAACAGGAGTTACAGATGGTTGTGAGCTGCCATGTGGGTGCTGAGAATCGAACTCAGGTCCTCTGCAAAAACAGCAAGTGCTCTTAACTGCTGAGCCATCTCTCCAACCCCCATGTTTGGGGTTTTTAATTCAAAAAGAAGTCACGGGTTGTGGTGGTACTTGTCTTTAATCCCAGCACTTAAGAGGCAGAGACAGGTGGCTCTCAGCAAGTTTGAGGTCAGCCTGGTCTACATAGCAAGTTCCAGGCCAGCCAAGACTATACAATGAGTCCCTTTTTATTTTTTATTTTTTTTAAAAAAGAACAGTTTTTAACAAAAACAACATTTTTAGCATGCACACCTGGACTCATCGGTGTCCTGTCACAGAGTAGAGAGCTTGGTCTTATAAAGGATGAGGCAGAGCCTCTCCATTCCCCTGGCTGGCTTCATTGAGATGAAGACTGGCCAGTCTGTTCATGCAGATTCTGGGTAGCCTGGTGGTTAGATCTCACCCTGCCCTATCAAACACTGGTGGAGGACTCTGAGGAGGGAGCCTTGCCTCACAGTGCTGCTTTTGACAGTAGCTGAAAATTATAACAAACAGCTGGACAAAGGAAACACTTCAGCGACTCACTAAGTAGCTTCCCAAGGCTGAGGGCATAGTCAAGAACACATCCATTCGCTCTTGACTGCCTGGAGCTTTTTCATGAGCCTTGCTCTAACTGTTGGACACTTGTGTTGGGGGTATCCCCTCACTCCCCATCCATGACACACAGCTGGGTGATTTTCTCCCTTGTGTTGCCACTTCTGTGGCCACTTCTTCCTTCTGCTCCTGAATTGTAGCAGTAAAAGGGAGATCTGATCATGTTTGAATTGTGAAGATTAATTGGGCAGGAGTATGGACTGTGGAAAAGTGGGTGGAGCAGTTTGGATACCTCAGGCGCAGGCTGAGCTGCCCTTCCACAAGTCTCTTGGTGGCAGGAGAGGGCAAGGGTAGAGCACGGGCCCCCTCAGGCCACTTTTAGCTGGTACTGGCCATCCAGCCAGCTTGCCCTGCCTCAGACATAGTGGGACTGTGTGTGGCATGTAGCGGGGCATTTGACTGGGCTATTTTCTCTTAAAAAGCAAGTAGGACCAGATAGAGAACACAGGTTTTGGATTGATGCACTCTGCTATCCCTGTTTGAAATGAATTGTTGGTTTCAGCATTCAGCACTACACCATATTCAAGTTCTAGGTCAAATAGCTTATTAGATTGCCTGAGAAAGTACAGCACACTTGTTAGAATGCGGGATGAAAGGGCAACATGCTAAAGAAGTAGAAACTGAATCTGATCTCAACAGATACAAATAGCTTTATAGCCATAACGGCAGGAAACCTTCCCATGGGAATGGAGGTTGTGTGTTGGGGGCAGTCTGAAATTTATAGGGATCTAGAAGGCATGTTCCTTCCTGGAATCCCAGAAGGTAGCCTTGTCTTCTGTGGTGGTTTCATGCTCCTTCCTGGAATCTGGGAAGGAGAGATGGGGCATTCTGAGGGGGGAACCAGATATTTTCTGCAAGGGGGTTGATAAGGAACCAGATGTCAAGGCTAGAAGCCAAGATAGATGTATCTCCCTCTTGGAGTAGGGAGGCAGGGCACGGGTAGATGGGATGGTCAGTTTGTTCAGTCATTGTCAGACTGATTTTCCTGAAACTGAACTGGGCCAGACAGACAGCTTTATCCCTTGATAAAGGGATAAAAGCACAAACACACAATGAGTTTGCTAGGCTGAGGGTGTAACTCAGTGATAGAGTACTTGTCTGACATATGTGAGGCTCTAGGTTCACTTCCCAGTACTACAAAAAAAAAAATTTTATGTGTATGAATGTATTGCCTGCATGTACATAAATGCACTCCAGCCATGCAGTGCCTTCAGAGTTCAGAAGAAGGCATCGGATTCCCAGAACTGGAGTTAACGAATGGTTGTTAGCTATCATGTAGGGGCTGGAAACCAAACCTGAATGCTTGCCAGCTCTCAGCCCCTACTACAAAATTTTTTTGATGTTTTCTTATCTATGAACTTCTGTTTTCTCTAAAGCATTATATATTAGCTCAAGGAATACAAAAGAGACTTTGGTAAAATACAAGTATCATTTCTTCTTTCACAATCAAAGTTATTCAGAAACTCATTCTAAAAGCTCCTCTAATTTGTCCAGTAATGTATAGTTTTTTATATACCATAGAAATTTCAATTTAGTGTCACAAAACTATTATATATTGCCTCATAGTAATTATAATTGATAGGTTTGTGGTACCTTGGAAGGGCTAACAGCTACATTTCTTAGGGGCATTAATAAATGTTTTCAGGTCCTACTTTTGTACAACTAAGTTTTCTAGTGGCCTAGCCAAGTTCAACTCCAACCCAGCTTGAATTCAAGAAAATAAGTGTAGTTTTTATGCTGTCACTGTTCTCTCCCATGTGGTCATCATAACTGCCTATAGAAAATGACTGTGAAGCCACTTAGTGCTTCCTTCTGAAAGTTGCAGTCTGTCATCCTGTCCCTGTAAAATGGATACTCACTAGCAGGCTAATACAAGGAGGGCGGGGGGCAACTGGATAAGTGGGCCCTGAACGCACAGATTCATATTGGAAAGCTAGCTTTGCAGAATTGTCTTTGGGATTCCCCCACAGATGGGGGAGGGGGAAGGGGGTACTGGCTAAGCTAAACCTCTGCTTTGTATTTCCATCAGCCCAAGGTGAAGTTTGTCTTTTTACAGGCAGCCATTTGGCAGCTCCCCTGATGACCTGCTGTGTCCACATCCTGCAGCCGAGTCTCCAAGTGATGAGGGAGCACTCCTGGACCAGCTCTATCTGGCCTTGCGGAACTTTGATGGCCTGGAGGAGATCGATAGAGCTTTGGGAATACCAGAACTGGTCAGTCAGGTAGGCCCAGATGACAGCAGGGGTCAGACACTGCTCTGTGTGCAGAAAGTAGCTCTTTCCTGCAGCCTGCTCTGTAGGATGCTTTTTACCTCCAGCAGGTGGCCCTGTCATGTTTCTCCTACACCCCCAGCATTACCTGTGTCTTGAAAGGCAAGCAGGAGACAGGAAGAGCTCAGACAGGTACTGCTCAGGCCTGTGGGCAGGAGCAGGTCAAAGCTGCTGTTCTGCACAATAGTCATTTTAGGGGTGGCTGCAGTTCATAATCACTTTGACCCTTATGTGGGTGTCACCCATAGGAAGTTTAGAGATATTTAAACAAATGGGAATATAAAACATCAGCCATCTTAATGAACTTAGCTTTCTTCCTCCCAGTTAGTTTATTATCTTAAAAAAGAACAATTTCTTGTAATTCTTTGCTAGTTTTGTAATTATCTGTATTTCTCTGGTTTGAGGGTATCTGAGAGCTGTGATATAAATAACCTGGTGTCTCTCCTAAGATACACAACACTGTTTGAAGCTGGCCCTGCAGCTGCGTTCTCACGTTTCCTGGTTTGCTGTAGGAAACCCTCACACCCCTGTCTTCTCCGTTCAGCATGACACATCTTTCTTTTTGCCACAAGTACCTCCCAAGGTCCAGTCTCCCTGGACCTCTGGCATGTCACCAGGTCCAGGAAGACGGGGATGCAGAGTCACTGTAGACTTCTCTGAAGCATTAAAAATAATCTTGTGCTGCGTTCTCACGTTTCCTGGTTTGCTGTAGGAAACCCTCACACCCCTGTCTTCTCCGTTCAGCATGACACATCTTTCTTTTTGCCACAAGTACCTCCCAAGGTCCAGTCTCCCTGGACCTCTGGCATGTCACCAGGTCCAGGAAGACGGGGATGCAGAGTCACTGTAGACTTCTCTGAAGCATTAAAAATAATCTTGTCAGGCCAGGTGTGGTGGTGCACGCCTTTAATCCCAGCACTTGGGAGGCAGAGGCAGGCGGATCTTTGTGAGTTTGAGGCCAGCCTGGTCCACATAGTAAGTTCTAGGACTGCTGGGGCTACAGGGAGACCAAGACA